CAAGTTTTGTATAAGCAAGCGTCATTCGATATACAAAAATCTAGTTAGATCTAACTTTTTAATGCCTGTACTTTATTGCATTTTAGAGAACCCCGGAACTGCGCTTAGGATTCCTGCTATCTTTCTAAATGACTTCACTACTAAAGAATGTTTTTTTCACATTTTCTGGACAAGCACATAGTTAAGCAGTGTGAAAACTGCTATCTTGCCAGGATCTGGGAGCACACTGTAAATCAATCTGGAAAGGGAGAAATGCTTAAATTTAAGTGGGATTGTAAATCTCTTACTGTGGAGCTGGAAGTTAAATTTGAAGGTGAAGTTCTTCAGATTTGCGAACAGGACTAATAGATTAGTTGTGAATGGTTGTATACACAATACTGTTCAAAAGTTTTTGAAATAAGTATCGTATGCTCACCAAGGCTGCATTTATTATTCAAACATATAGTAAAAAACAGTGAAATATTACAATTTAAAATATTTTTTCCTGTTTTAATATATATTAAAATGCCATTTATTCCTTTATTCTTCGTCTTCTTAAACCGAATACATATATATATATATATTGTAATTGTTGTATGTCTACAGTCACTTTTGATCAATTTAATGTATCCTAGCTTTATAAAAGCAGTCATTAATAAAAAAAAACGTACTGACCAAAGTTTTCAACAAATTATATATATATATATATAATTTATTTTAAAAGCCATATATTACTTTTGTATAATCATTGTGTTAAATTGTGTGTGTGTATGTGTGCATTCATTCATTAATTATAAAAAAAAGTTATTATGGGGTGAAGAAAGATGCCCACAACAGCTTGTTTTGATGGACGGCAGAATTAATGTGGCATAACACAGAAGGAGGCTGTGGTTGATGCTCTTGCTCAACATAGAGAGATAAACTAAAACCATCTGCACTGGAATCTATGCACTTCATAAAAAAACTAGAAAGAAAGAAAGTCACAATATGGCGCATACCCTTGGGGAGAACTTTTGGCTCATATGCACACTCTGTTACTGTTCTGGTAATAGATTTAACACAATATGTTACTGAATTTTATAGCAGAATCCTGAATCCTACTCTGAATCTATCAAATCATAATAGCAGATTAAAGGTGTAATTTAAAAAGTTCACCTTTAAGGTTCTGCAGTCACACTTTAAGTGGGTGTTCAGTGAGTGTTGCTGTGGACCTGATATATTATTCAACACTCAAAAACAGGAACAGTGCTTTCCATTTAAAGGTATACAATCATGTACACAAACACCTCAAACAGTTTGTACATCAACAGATAAGTGGATATTTTTACATTGCTATCTTGTGTTTGTCCCTTTGCATCATGTTCAAGAGCAATCACTATTCTCCTCCATCACATAGAAAGGTTACATGACAGTTTCTTTGTTTTAGATACCAATTGCTTCTTTCAGTGCAAAATGTGTTCATATTAGTTTCAGTTTGCATCCTGGGAGCAATGATTTCCCAACAGTCTTTTCTTGTCTTTTCTAAAATCATCTGACTTTTTTTTTTGGCTCTGTGAAAGAAAAACAAGTCGTACTTCAGCAATGTTTATTTTTTTTTGTGAGTTCCAGATCTTAGCTTGAAGCCTGTCAACACAACGAAACCAACTTAATTGCTTTAAGTCTGTCAGAAAAATAAATACAACTTTTATAAGATGTCCTCGCCTTTTCTGGGCCTATATATTTGGTTTAGAAAACCATACAGAATGATCAAGGAACCAATCTGCTTTTTTCCCCCCACACTGGTTGGATGAAGGGACACTCAATTTTCTCAACCAGCTTGCATTTATAACTCTAAAAGACTGGGTAAAATCACAGAGGTCATAGTGGTTTAGTGTACCCTTAACCACTGCTGTTTAAATTGCCACATACGACATTGGCTGCTCCCTGTCCAGACAGAGCATTCTTTGCTGAATGACACATTTGCACAGTTTCACAGACAAGGTTTAAGCCTACTATAGTCCCAGACTACAGTGCATGTTTGATGAAAGCAACTTGCACTGACATTATCTTGCACTGGCATATCTGCCATTGCTTTTGCTCAAGATGCACACCAGCAATGTTTTTTTCTAAGGCACATTTAAAATCATCTGACTTTTTTTTGTTTTGGCTCTGTGAAAGAAAAAAGAAAAAAGTCATACTTGAAGCTAGATCTGTGTCTGTCAAGAAGAGATGCTTAAATGAGAACACTATAGTGTACCATTTATAAAGGCTATATATTTAACACCAAGCATTTCTGCTGACTCTGTTGATTTTCTCCTTGATTCTTTTAACTCAAAAGTTAAGTGTAATTGATGATATTGCAGCTGTGAAAGTCAGGAAGAAGAGTGGGCAGACAAAAAACACCTTGGAGAAACTCAACAGCAGTGCAAAACATGAAGAGACAATGCAGAAAAGCAGAGCGCATGTGGCGGAAGACAAAACTTGTAGTCCATTATAACATCTAAGACAGCATCCATGCTTTTAATATGGAACTAGGCAAAGCTAGACAGACTTTCTTCTCGAATGTTATAAACAGAAACTTAAATAACACACGCACTCTTTTATACTGTAGAGAGACTGACAAACCCCCCAAGCCAGATTCCCAGTGAAATGCTCTCAGACAGCAAGTGCAGTGAGTTTGCTTCTTTCTTCTCTGAGAAAATCAATTATATCAGAAAGGTGATCAGCACATCCTTGAGTTGCACTGGGGTCAGACAGATCAGACCACAACCTGAGAAAGTAGTTATGTCTGATTTCGAAGAAATTGATGGCAAAATTTTGGAAGAAACCGTAAAGCACCTTAAAACATCAACCTGTGCCCTTGACGCACTTCCCACATTTTTTTTCAAAAGTGTGTTAAACAGCTTAGAAGCAGATCTCCTAGAAGTGGTAAATGCCTCACTTCTCTCTAGGAGTTTTCCAAACTCCCTGAAAAACTGCAGTTGTCAAGCCTCTCATGAAAAAGAGCAATCTGGATAAGACCATCTTAAGCAACTATAGACCGATCTCAAATCTTCCTTTCATAGGCAAGATCATTGAAAAAGTTGTCTTCAATCAGCTGAATAAATTCTTAAGCTTGAATGGATATTTCGACAATTTTCAATCTGGTTTCCGACCGCATCACAACACAGAGACAGCGCTCATAAAGATAATAAACGATATTCGCTTAAACACTGATACAGGCAAATTATCAGTGCTGGTACTACTCGACTTCAGTGCTGCATTTGACACTGTCGATCACAACATACTACTTGACAGGCTGGAAAACTGGGTGGGGCTTTCTGGGATAGTCCTAAAATGGTTCAGGTCATAGAAGGGAGAGGTTATTATGTGAGTATAGGAGACCATAAGTCTGAGTGGACATCCATGACATGTGGAGTCCCTCAAGGCTCAATTCTTGCGCCACTCCTATTCAACCTGTATATGCTCTCAATGAGCCAAATAATGAGAAATAACCAAATTGCTTACCACAGCTATGCAGACGACACACAGCTCTACTTAGCCCTATCGCCTAACGACTACAGCCCCATTGACTCCCTGTGCCAATGCATTGATGAAGTAAACAGTTGGATGTGCCAAAACTTTCTTCAGTTAAACAAAGACAAAACCGAAGTCATTGCGTTTGGAAACAAAGATGAAGTTCTCAAGGTGAACCTTGACGCTAGGGGTCCAACAACTAAAAATCAAGTGAGGAATATTGGTGTGTCTCTAGAGTCAGATAGTTTCAGTCATGTCAAGGCAATAACTAAATCAGCATACTATCATCTGAAAAATATTGCAAGAATTAGATGCTTTGTAGTCAAGACTTAGAGAAACTTGTGCATGCTTTCATCACCAGCAGGGTTAGGGTGAGGGTTAGGGTTAGCAGGCCTTCCCAAAAAGACCATAAGACAGTTGCAGCTCATACAGAACGCTGCTGCCAGGATTCTGAGCAGAACCAGAAAATATGAACATATCAAACCAGTCCTCATCTCTTTACACTGGCTCCCAGTTACATTTAGGATTGATTTTAAAGTATTATTGGTATATAAATCATTCAATGGCCTAGGACCTCAATATATTGCAGATATGCTCACTGAACCTAACAGATCACTCAGATCATTAGGATCACATCAGCTAGAAATACCAAGGATTCACTCTATGTCGCGGAGAGTCTGCTTTTAGCTATTATGCCAGCCGCAGCTGGAACAGCTTCCAGAGGATATCAGATGTGCTCCTACAGTAGTCAAATCACATTCAAAAGACATCTGTTTAGCTGTGCATTTAATGAATGAGCACTGTGACACTGACTGTCGTTCGTCTGACTGTTTGTACTGTATTTTATTTTTTATTCTAAACTGTTTAATTATTCTTATTTCTTTTGATTATTTTAAACGTAAATATCCTAATTTAACTAAGGCCTATACTCATGGCTTAATCTAAGCCATGTCTATGAAACCAGGCCATTATACTGTAAGTGCTATCAGCATTTAGGCACTTTAAACAAACTGAAAAGCACTTAATGCATGACCTATTGCAATTGGAATTAAATCTCAAATTCTTCTTCTTCTTCTTCAAAAATGAAAGTTAGTCACTATACAGGCAAAACTTGCATTACAAAACAATTGTCTTAATGTGCTGTAATTAATGATTGGGAAGTATGGTGATACATATTAGTTCAAATGTACCTCATTTACCTTAAAATAAATAAATAAATAAATAATAATAATAATAATGAATAACAATAATATTAGCCAACATTAATTCATAGATTATATTTTCTAATAGCATGCCATTTCTTTTTAAATAACCCTTTTATCATTTCATCTTAATTCGTCATTGACCCTAACGACAGAAATAAAGAAATAGATGTGGTCTTAAAACTAAAACACTGAACAGATTACAAAAATGAGGAGTCCCAAAACCTGTGAACGACCTTGCCTGGTGACGTCAAATTGAGCAAACCAATCAGATTAAACCTTGGCAGTGTACCGCCCATTGCTGCCAAAAGTAGGGGGAGTGGAGCCAAGAAGTGTTCTTTCTTAACCGCCGTGCGCTTTCAGCGAAATACAGCGGAATAAATCCAACGTAAACGCAGTTATACTTTATTGCCTTGCGGACTATAATCATCTCACACGTGCCTGTTTATTCGTTAGAAGAAAAAAAAAATCCCGTAGGATCTGTTTTCCTCCCCCCCTCTGCTCAATGGTGTGGGATCCTCCTTTTCTCTCGCATTAGCGCCTTTCTGGTGCTGCAGTATGAACGGACACAGCCAGGCGGACTGAACTAGTACCTGCGGGTTTCGGTTAAAATGTTTTACGCTGGTGTGGGATTTTGGAAACGACTTCAAGGCGGACACGTGGAATAAAAGTATGTCATCGTTTTGAAATTAGTTCTGGAGAAGTGCACAGGCAAACGCGTGTCATTGTTTATTGTAAGGATCCATGAAATAAAGGTAAGCATCGACTGCGGTGATTGTTGTTTAGAAACGGATACTTTGCTGACTGTCTGGTGGTGGAAAGTCCGATTCTTTTCACCGAACCGGTTCTTTTGAACAGTTCGTTTCAAAGAACCGGGTCAAAAACCGATTGAATGGCCTTTATGTTATTATTCTTTTAAACGTTCCATAATTTATGTTTACTATATTTTTTTGTCGATTAGGCTTTATTAATAAGGTAGTTTTTTTGTAATCATGTGACCCAGTTCAGTTTGGTGCAGGTCATTCATTCATGGTTCAGCTCATAATAACAAAGTAATTTGCATGACACAATACTAAATTCACGTAAGGTAACGTTACTCATGTAATTCATCTCTCTGTTCTCATAAATCCGTTCCCAGAACGTTTTATTTGCAACATTTCTGCGATTCTGGTGTTAAAGTAACAACTGTTACATTTCGTCCCATCTGTCAAATCCTCGGTTCACTACATGCTCTTTATAGTATCAGCTCAGTTATCGGTTCATTGCGTATCAGAAATGTTTGAAAATATCTGTTTCTCTCTTCTCGGTTCATTGAGTCAGTGAGTTGTTAACTGGAGAACGGCTCGGTCCAATTCAGTCCGATTCCTGAGCGAATCGTTCAGATCGTGTAATGCATCAAACTCTCTTACGGAGATAAAATAGTTAAATCTTTTGACACCGTGACCAACATTAGAATAAGATGAAAAGCCTGTCGTCATTTATTATTTAGGCTAAGTTTCAACGATTGATTAGCGTTTCGTTTCATAACAAAATTCGAAGCTGTCCGTTGTGTAACGTTACATTCCAGCGAACCAAACGAACGCCTGTTTGTTTACATTGTATTATAACATGGAATAGTTCCCCCATAAATAAAAATGGTTGCAAACTTGTATTTATTTATTTCTGGAACACAAAAAGAGGACTACGCTGAATGACAGGCTGAGTCACCATTCCCATACATTGCTTCTTTTCCATACAGTGAAAGCGAATGGTGACTTGAGTCTGTCAAAATGCCTTACCTCTTTTGTGTGTCACAGCTTGAATTCACAGTATTAAATAACTCATTAGTCAGTTTACATACATTGACATGTGGGACTAACTATTTGGATGTACAATAACTCATCTGTATAATGTTTGCTAGTGTTACCAAAAGATGTACAAAAACAACACACTTCTCATGTAAATGTGAAATATGATATTAATTAATTATGGATGTGCTTGTTTAGACTGCTGCATTCCATGCAGGAGTCCTCTGGTCTTTTAGGGAGAAATATGTATGGCCATACTGAACTAAACCCGTTAGTGAAGGTTACTGTTGCTGTTGCATCACCTTTGCTTCTGATAATCTCATAATGGTGTGATGTTTGCCCATGACCACTCTTAAGATAAATGTACAACTTGGCTTTGACTGAGACTCTTTAATCTGACCTCTGTCTTGCTGACCCACATTTCTATTTTGGGCAAAGGCCTTCTTTTCCACCCTATGAAGACCTTGGTTATGTGGCACTAATGGTTTTTATTGATTTGATCTGGATGTCTGATGCATTGCATGCATGCTGTTTACATGCAATTAGTAAAGGTTTATGGGTAAGTTTAGTATTTCAACATAGATTTTCATATTTTAATGTTATAATTTAGTTGTGAATGTTATTGAGAAGGTTATAAAGATATTATTAATCTCTTTTGTACTTTAGATCGTCCTTGTGTCTTTGTTCATAGTCAGGTCAGTGTGAAACCAGAGACAAAGACTCTTTTGCTGACTCAGCTCAAACCCAGCTGATTATTTTGGCAAGTCTTAGATTAGATTAGATGTTTGACTTTCTAACAGCAACCATCAGTGTGTGAGAGAGGCTGTTTGTTTTTTTATTGGGAACCAGAAATGAAAGGACTGTGGGGTAGATCTACTCAACTGTGACCAGTTAAACAAAAGTTAAGTAACGCTAACATTTACCTCCTTTTTGGAGCTCCGGTGATGTATTTAAGAGTTCTTCTTTCCGAATCCAAACTGGCAGACAGTGAAAGATCATGCTGTGGGCACTGGGCACTGAGTTGGCCATAAAAGGAGATGTCTGCAACTTTTGGCAGTGTTGTTTAGGTCTTGGTGCTGCAGGTATTTATTGCCAACATTTTTTATTTTCAAATTCTGCTCTGACTTTGCCAGAGGTTGTAACGGAAACGTCACGGAAGTGGAATTAAAGTGATCAGGGAAGCACACTTGTGAATGAGAGAGCAAGTAATTCTGTTCATCTCTGTTAATGTGTTAGACTTTAGTGTTTTATAACAATTTAAATTGTTAATACAAAGTGAATTTATGTATGTAATTTATTAAGATTATTTTACTTAAGTATTAATTATTTTATTTACATATTTATTTATATAGCCTATCTGAATCATATCTTTCCTAAAAAAAGTATTGTTGTTCATCTGATCTCGAAATGTGTGCATATTTTATTTTCTCCTTTAAAAGATTCCCAATCTTTTCAAAGTTATGAATTTGCAATGGTTACAGATTTGTTTCAGAAAGTAGAATAATCACTACTGATCAGGCTTAGGCTATCTTCCTTGCTTGTGATTTTTTTGTATTTTTTTTTTTTTTGTATCTGTGCTATCAGAGATAAGAATATCTAGCTATAGCTTAGTGCAAATTTTATCGTTTGGCAAATGCTTTTTATGGATGCGCACAATGCACTCTTGCTTTTTAAACTCATCATGCAAAATTTGATCACGTAGCACATGGCCTGATGTATTGTTGTAAAGTTTATGAATGCAAGTGTAATGGCAAGATCTAAGGTTGTCTTTAGATTGGCAGAGGACTCTCGGACCTCTAAAGAACAGCCACTGCAGCTGCTCTGCAGGAGTTTATTTAATTAAACTAGTTTTAAATTAGGAGAACTTTGTTGCACTCCCTCTAGCTCACTGCCACTGCGTCTGTTGAGTTTTGAACATCTCTGGAATCTAATGAGTCACAAAAGATGCCAGAGACGTTAGTCCGGCGTGTTTTTCAGTGACTGTTTAAGTTCAGTTTGAAATGGTTTGCTATTATTATTTTGAAGGAACAATGGGAAACATGGCAGTTTTTTGCTTTATGACAGATATTCTAACCTAACATTTGTGCTGTTCAAAAACTAGATAATAAAATAATGTAGTTCCCTTCCTACTGAAATGTCTTTGTGATTTTATGAGATTAATGTGAAAAGGATGTTTGTTTAGGAATGAGGAATGTTCAATTATGTTTTTCAAAAGACCCCTGAACTGAAGAAGGTGATCAATCAGTGTCAAAAAAGTATTTTTGGCTTTTAAGGAACCTCTCTTTTTTCTTTAACGTTTCTTAGTGTTACAATCAAGTGACCTGACAAGGGGGATGGAAACCTGTTTGGAAAGAATCCCTATTGTTGCTGTTTGTTAGGTGCAGAAATTACACACTGCTACTCTAACCTTCACTCTTTTTATCTGTGCAAGAGTGTTTTCAAGGACATCATCCTACTATACTGTACTGTGTTAAAGCCAATATGAAATCAGAATTGCCATATGTCTTGTGGTGAACAATTCATCCGTGCAAGTTAATTTACAAAAAAAGAGAACCCTTAAAGAGGATATTGCAGGTAAAAAAAAAATCTAAATTAATATATAACCTTGTATGAAAATACCATGAAAAGTTAATGCAGGATTTAAAATGTTTTAAAACGACAAATAGCTAGGTCACTTATGTAGCAGTAGATAAAGTGAGTTTATCTATCTCGCGTCATTTTACGTCATGACAGGGAGCCTCAGCCTCGGCTCAGTGCAGAGTAGGCTGGTATTCAGTGAGAGCGGCCGTGACAGTGTGTTTTCGGTAGTTTTTGTATTTCAATTTATCATCGTCATGGTAAATTATTGTGTTTGTTTGTGGAGGTTGCAAAAACTCTGGCGTGTCAGGACACCGAGTCCACAGGTTTCCATAACTAGAAAAAGGATGGTGATATATCTTCCGTGCCTGGTGCGGTTTGTGCAGGTGAAGCGACGGGATTTCTCTTCCGCATCGACTTCGAAAAACGCGGTCGTGTGTGTAGCGTTCACTTCAGATCGGAGAATTATCATCCCGGCGATATGATGGAGTTCAACATGGGATGCCGAAGCAAGAATATTGATCGTCTTATACTGTACCAATGGCACCAAATAGTGTGATATAGGTAGTCATGCCCTAAATAGAGGCAACTTGTAATTGAAAAACAAAATTACTCAGATTGTTTAAATATTCAAATCTTTAATTTTCTGTTTATGTTATAACCCAGGTGAAAAATATGTATTAAAAATTGACTTGAGTATGTTTTTAGTACAATACAAATATACTCAAGACAAGTATAGTTTTTATACATTTAATAGTACCCTAAACAAACTCATGTCTGCTGGCCTGATATACGATGATAATAATCTGTACAATATTGTGAGCACAGTGAATATCGTTAGCGAACGTGTATATCTAATAAGCTAACACTGGTCTCTCTCACCCAGACACCTGTCCTGTTCTCCACTGGTTCTCCTCACATCACAACTCAATTTGTCTCTGACCGTTCTGTCTAACATTAATCCTGGCCTGTCCCTGTTCTCTTGGCAGCATAGCAGGCTCATATTTTATGGCTGTGGTCCGTCATACGAGTAAGTATTTCCTCAGCGTCCGAAATGTCATTGCGATCCATTGTTTTCCTGTTGTTTGAATCGACCGCTCTCCCGCCCGTTACGTCACGCCCGCCATCCATGCCCATTTTCAGACGCAGAAGTAAAATTTTCTCACAAAAACGACTCCTGAAGCTTTTTTTAAAGAAAATCTAGTTCCCACATTATTTGACTCGTTGGGTCACCTAACCTGCAATATGCCCTTTAATAATTGTCTTCGTAATCGAAATCTGAAAATGTTCTATGATGACGTCAGTTTGATGGCTTGGGTAGAACATCCCCTCCAACTGTCAGGCTGCATTTAACTCCACTTTTAGGCATACACTTGTGAATTTCCCAAAGT